CATATTTTCGAATGACTTGCCGCTTCTTGTTCTGGGCATATTGTTTACAAAGTTCCAGATTCCAATTCGGTTGAACGTCTGAGATCCACCGGGTACTTGAGATTTGATTTACGGATTTGAGTACTATAGGTTGATTCCAGCAATCTGTTGAACCACGTCGAGTTACGCGCAAAACCCCAAAAGCCAATTCTTTCAAATGGAGGTTTATCTACAAATGCGGTACTATAAGTACAATAATAAAATGATAAAGCTTTACAAACCTCAAATCGTGGGACTATGCCGGCTTCTATACACCGGTTTAGGAACTGCTAATTCGTAACGGGTCTCAAAGTCCACGCCGACTCGGAGCCACGTGTTTACAAGCTAGCGAAACCACGTGTGAACTTAAACGACACGTCCGATGACAAGGTCAAAGAACGGTTTATGTTCAGGTCAAAAACAACAAGGGTGGTATGGGCACAGACCAAAATAACAAAAAAGGGGGAATCGCGTCGTACAATATAAAAAGTAGGAGAAAGGAATCAACAAGTAGGAGAGTCAAACTCAAAACCTGGTTAGTTACCTCTTGACCCAAGTACCTCAAGCAAACCGGATACAAGAAGATAAAGAGAACCCGTCGCGTGTGTTGATACGTAACACCTAAACCTATATAAAAAGTAGGAGAAAGGAATCAACAAGTAGGAGAGTCAAACTCAAAACCTCGGAGGTTACCTCTTGACCCAAGTACCTCAAGCAAACCGGATACAAGAAGATAAAGAGAACCCGTCGCGTGTGTTGATACGTAACAGAAACCTAAACCTGCAACCTGGCTTCGAAACCCTACTGAACACAGTTCACATTTAACGAAATAAAATCATTTCGAATGTCAATTCTCTCACGTGACGCACAAGTTTGACATCTCACGACCATTTTGAATGAAGGAATCGTCTAAATCGCATGATATTTTTTCCGTCTTTAGGATGAAATGGATGGAGGGGTGTAGTGTATCAGGACTCTCATGAGAGCACTGTAGAACATTGCACCACTTCCGAAAATTGATGACCATGTCTGCGAATATTTTGCCACTAGTGGTACCTTTACTAGTAGTATAGTTTAATCAAAATATTAATCATGAAGAGTAGCAGGATTTCACTGCCGACATCATTGTTTCAACATACAACCTATCGCTCGGTATGCTTTTCCACTCATTTTACCCATTAGGTTACAACGCGAATAGCGTTGATATTGACTTAATGGGAAATTTTGTGTTTTGAAATTTTTCAAGTCCAGTTAGAGCCACGTGGCTCCATTTCATCGTACCTGCTTTTGGGTACGAGGAGAAATGACGATATTATTGAACAATATCATTTTCAACACAACTTTCCCGACTTTAACTGATGCCATATGCAAACACACTGTGTTTTGTTGCCTGTAGGTCGAATTCGGCTCTTTTCACGACCACTGATATGCAAAGTGATTCGCAGCACCTGGTTAATGAAATCGGTTCTCTAATTCCATCTTCTCAATATTTCTTTGGCGTTCTATTCACGTTTACTTGCATAACGACAAATGGGGTGGACTATAATTGTCACGAGATGACGCAGCGTAACCGCAAAGCGGCCGTATTGCTTCCAATGGCTAAATTAACTTGCGTGACTTCTCGAAATCTTGCCATTACAACGGTAATAAATAGATCGGTAAACAGGGCATCCTCAGAGTTTCTTCAGGATATTGGGCGGTTTACGCAGCCCACAGAAGTGAGGGGACAAAGTTGACTTCACACGTACCTCGGAAACTGAAAACAACACGTAGAAACCTCGTGCTGTGGATGTTTGTGTCAGTCGTGCTCCTGGAACGGTGATAGCAAGCGGTCAAATTACAGTAGGGTACGGGGAGCATCATAAACAACGTTGTGAATAGGCCAGAAGGATAAGAAACTCCATTTCGGAAAAGCTCGGGTTAGGAAACATGGCATTTATGTGAGCGGCGTAACTGTACAGGAGTGCAGTACAGAGGACGATTTAGCAACGATTGTGGGGATAAACAAACGGGTGTCAGCTGCGAAAAGTTTTGAAAAGGAACAGAATATCTGTCTATTAGAGGGACTGTTATTGAGCCAAAGGGTAAATAAAGCGCAAACGAACGGCCACGTAACTATGATGATCTGACGTACCGGAACCCCAACGGTAGGGGCCGTCTCGGCGGCTTCTCTTTCGATCTTCGGTTGCGGCTTCTCCCGTACCAACCTGGTTGTTTTCAGTGACCACCAAGGAACACGCAAAGTGCTTCAACTCTGGTAGACTAATAGTTTTTGGTACTACATAAGAATCAGATACTACAGAATCGAACACTAATCAGAAATTGAGCAGATAAAGTAAAGATGTGGCTTGGACCAGTAAGACAGGACACAAGAAAACGCCAAATTTGGCGGCCACCAACCATCCGTATTGTGTCAGGGATTACTGCCTACTCATGAGTAGTTAGTGAAGACCCGTGTTCAACTGCTGCGCTCTTAGATTCCTAGGGAATAGATCAGTGGATTTTCTACAGAAAATCGTTATTAAATGAAGTTACGGAACCCAAACATTTTATAAGAGAGCAATGAGGAAACGTGTAGTGTTGTGGACGTGCCGAAATTGCAATTTGAGTAAACACTGCCTGCAGCTGCATCAGTCGACACGGCATGATGACTCCATCGGACTGATGGCATAGTTAAGATATGATCATTACCAGAAAACGATCATCAGTCTCAAAATACGTTCTACATCCAATAATTTAAGATCACACTGGACAGAGGCGAAAGCGATTATCTGGTCCAATCTTTGAGGGGATTTGCCACAATGTTTACGAATAGAGTAGGGCATTACTCACGTGACACGTCGAAATTTTCACTTTTGTATATCCGAACTCTCAAAAAAGTACAGAGTATTCAACCTGCACATGAAATTAAACTAATTAATCCCACCAACTACGAGCGAGCCTCTATCATTCTTGTGGACACTACCGGCTTACTGCGACAACCAGCCCCCCTGTGATTTCATTATATTCGAAAGCGATTTGGTCCTTGTGGCAAGAGTATGTTCAGGGAATTCTCTGAAAATTCGAGAATTCTACTATATTTTAGAGTGCTATCCCTGGTGGGGATTATTTGCTTCCCCAAAAGCTCTCAGTGGAGACACCACCCACCAAGAGGGGACAAGTGCGCTACCAAAAGCGGAATTTGACAACCGCATTTCAATCAGAAATTATCCGCAAAGCTTGACAAATCATCCAAGTGTCCAAGGTCCAGAGTGTCACTTTCACTGCACACATCAGTTATGATGATATATGTGGTGACAAGAATTGTTAGTTTGATCAAGTATCACTCAAAAACCCACATCAAAGCGCTACAATCAGACACCGAGCGCAGCCTTCTTACATACTGGATGGCTTAAGGTATCGAGGATTACACCAAAACTTGGTGTGCAGGTATTTGGGAGTTTGATTGGGATAAAAGTTGAAGAGTACGGAATCTGCAGCTAAGCACTCCCACTCAATCAGAGTCATTGTATGTCCTAGTTTCCACTTTTTGTTACCAAGCGTACGTAACTACGTGTTTTGATCCATTTCGTAGAGTAACCGCTTCGGTAAGGTAAGATGTGACTTTCCGGTGATCACAACGATTGACAGCAATACAGTTCAGTGCACGTCTAACCACAGAACGCCATGTGGGAGTGATGCGGGTTGCCAGTCGACCACCGTCGTGTCCACGTGTTGTCGCGGTTTGCATTCGCAGATTATTCTCAATAGTGGTCTGGAATCTGGAGTCCGTAGATGACTTTCTCTGACGACCATCGTACACAGTAAACAGTTCAATGAATAAAACACGGCCGCCTGGCTGTGGTTTGCTAGCTGCCTGAAACCACGGATACATGCGCTCTCACGAAGGCTGGACAGTTTCGGCTTGCAGTTAAGTCCCTCCTTCACCAATTCTTCAATTTGCACGCAATTGCTCCCAAAGAGAAGGAACCATTCAAGTGTAACTGATTAACAGTTTTTTACACGTGGTCATACTGAAAAAGAAGAAGCATAATTGGTACCGCTGAAAGCGAACTAAACAAAGGACAACGTCAATCTTGGTGAGTGATATGTCTGCTGTAAAACCAGGTATGATACATACAAATTGGGAAAACTACCATATGAAGTTTGAGTTAAACGCAAGCTGCTGAAGATTCCGATTCTTGCTTTTCCTGCTTCTTCCTGGGGAGTATCCAGCGGGGTCGTTGTCAAATGGGACTATGAAAAATAAAACACCATGTAAATTACTTTGAGAATCTGTTAGTGCCTTATTTGTGACGTAAATGAGTAAATTGTAAGTAGGTAAAAAGCACTAACAAATGGCCATCTTACTAGAATGTGATGAATACAATAGTTGTATGATGCACTGAATAAAAATAGATACAATGCGAAAAGTGGAATGAGCCGAAAAGTGACTTATCGTTTGAGGACACTTGTTTAGATTTCCTTGGTGATATTCCGAACGTGGGACGTTTCTTCTCTGCAGTATATCTGCTACACGTGTTCCGCAGTTGTCCGTGGAGACTTACGGAGCTCTGTTGACTTCCTATCCTAAGAGCGCGTGTGTTGAACCTAGTTGTATGTCTATTTATTGTGAGCAGTTTGAAGAGAGACTTGGAGAGAGACTTGGAGACTTGCAGAGCTCTGTTGACTTCCTGTCCTGTGCGCGCGAGTGTGTGTGTGTTGAGCCTAGTTGTATGCCTATTTATTGTGCGCAGTTTGAAGAGAGGGGTATCCCTTCGTGTTTGATGCTTGCATGAACATGAATACAACTTGACCTGATGTGTATGTGGTGGAGGAGAGCCAGAGGCGATCAAACAATGACTTGGCAGCGAAGTGGGAAAGCCATTACCAGCAAACTCAGCTGCGCTGATCACTGCCGTCTTCCTGGATGGGGACCCCGAGACGGGCCACATCAA